CTAATGCTTCTTCAGCAGATTTATTCTTTTTGTTTTCATGTGACCAGTGATACCATTCTGGTCCCCACAGAGAATAATAAATGTTGATATTTTGCACAAATTACACGTTCATCATCAACTTGCTTGGAAAAAAATTTGATTCTTCATTTTTTAATTAAGCATGAACTTTTTCTAGTTTTTAAACTCTTTGCTCCAGAAAGGTAAGTGTTACCAAACTGTAAAATAAATATAGTTGTAGATTTAGACAATAAATAAAGACACAATTTAAATATAATGAAGAGAGAATTACTACAGCCAGAGTGATCAGAATATTTCTTGTATGCTCTATGATAGAACTGCTAAGCCTTAATTTCCCACGTGAATTTCATGTATACTCAACCATGTTTTATGATGACCCCACCTGGCTACCTTGTGCAAGTTGTGATACTTTGGAGTAACAGACAAGTGGCTGGTAGGGACTAGAGAATTGAAAACCTTATCCCACTCAAACCTGAAGGAGTTAGTTGTTCCTAGCCTTTGAGCCTACTTTGTGGGTGAACACGTGGTTTTTATTATCAGGTGCCCTTTATGCTGTCCTTGAAAGGGAAGTGTTAGATTGCAGCAGGAAAGGATCAGGATAATACTGGTAATTACTGATCATATTTCCATTTTACCATTTGTTAAAGTGTGAACTCTATTCACTGCACGTACATCTCACATGTCATTAGAAAATACCAAGACAGGCTGGGCATAGTGGCTCATGCCTGTAATCCCAGCACTCTGGGAGGCTGAGGCAGGAGGATCACTTGATACCAGGAGTTTAAGACCAGCCTGGGCAACACAGTGGGACCCAAGTGGGACCCATCTCTCTGTAAAAAAAAAAATTAGCCAAAAGTGGTGGCACACACCTGTAGTCCCTGCTTCATGGGAGGCTGAGGCAGGAGGATCACTTGAGCCTGGGAGGTTGAGGCTGCAGTGAGCCATGATCACACCATGTTCTCCAGCCTGGGCCTGAGAGTGAGACCCCTTCTCTAAAAAAGAGAAGAGAAAAGATCAAAACATAAGATGGAACAAGAAAGTGAGGGCTACCATGCTGGGCATGGTGGCTCATGCCTGTAATCCCAGCACTTTGGGAGGCCAAGGTGGGCAGATCACAAGGTCAAGAGAGCGAGGCCATCCTGGCCAACATGGTGAAACCCATCTCTACTAAAAATACAAATAAATTAGCTGCGTGTGGTGGCACACGCCTGTAGTCCCAGCTACTTGGGAAGATGAGGCAGAAGAATCACTTGAAACTGGGAGGTTGAGGGTGCAGTGAGCTGAGATGGTGCCACTGTACTTCAGCCTGGCAACAGAGCAAGACTCTGTCTCAAAAAAAAAAAAAAAAGTGAGGGCTGTCAAATATCTCTTGGCTTATTTTGCTGCAAATATTAAGAATACTTTTTTAAAATTTTTGGTCGGGCGCAGTGGCTCACACCTGTAATCCCAGCACTTTGGGAGGCTGAGGCGGGCGGATCACCTGAAGTCAGGAGTTCAAGACCAGCCTGGCCAACATGGTGAAACCCCGTCTCTTAATAAAAAAAATAAATAAATAAATTATTTTTGTATTTTAGAGACAGAGTTTCGCTCTTGTTGCCCAGGCTGGAGTGCAATGGTGTGACCTCAGCTCACTGCACCTCCCGCCTCTCGGGTTCAAGCGAATCTCCAACCTCAGCCTCCAAGTAGCTGGGATTACAGGAGCTTGTCACCACGCCCAGCTAATTTTTTGTATTTTTTTTCTTTAGTAGAGATGGGGTTTCAGCATGTTGGCCAGGCTGGTCTTGAACTCCTGACCTCAGGTGATCGCCCTGCTTCAGCCTCCCAAAGGTCTGGGATTACAGGAGTGAGCCACTGCACCGAACTGTGACTACTGCTAGAATACATATTTGTGACTAATAACTTCTGAGGGAATTAGATCACATCTTGTGTTACATGCTCACATTTCATCCTCTGCTTTTCCCCTCCTGTACTTAATCACAATGATAATTTTATATTCATTTGTTAATTTTATATCCGTTGCCCATCTGCCCCACTAGACCAGAATCTCTGAGAAAAAGCAACATTTGCTCTCTAATGTTGTATCCTTGGCACCAAGCACAGTGACTTGGATGTAACAAAGGCTCAATATTTGTGGAATAAATGAAAAAGTAAATGAATGCACAGGACAGAGTGGGTATCCTGTCAGCAGCAGATGTGTCCCAGTTGATACCTAAGTGTATAGAAAGCCCTGGGAAATTGGAAACAGCATTCTTTTGCAGATATCCCTGGCTTATATAGTAGGTCCATGCTATGTTGTTCAGTCAAATGTTTGAATTTTATGTGTCCATAAGTGCTTGTTGAATAATAGCTAGCATTTATTGAAGGCGGTCAGTATGCTTAAGCACTTTTTATGTGTTATTTAATCTTTACAACAATCTTGTTATAAAGTATTACTCTGCCTATCTTACATGTGAATTCGCTGAGTTAGAGAAATGAAATAACATTGCCCAGGGTTATAAAGTTAGTAAGTGCATCATAAGAATGGGAATTTGATTACATCTTTCCATTCTGTTTACATTACAGACATTGTCACTGAACATTTTAAATATTAGAAAACCCCACTGAGAGTGACAAATAAAGGATTTATCACACAGAACAAGATATCCAGCAGTAAGCAGTCCAGGCCTGGAATAGCGCTTAATTATATTATCAGAGACCCTGGGTCTTTTTTTTTTTTTTTTTTTTACCCTGACGTGATATGAAATCTTCTAATCTTGCTACTTTACCATGCTTACCATGTGATTCTGTCCTGATTATTATGTTTGCAAGATGGCTACTGCATCAGTTCCTAAGACAGTGGAATGGTGAAATGTCTTAAACTTTCTTGGAAGCCCCATTAGGTGACTTGTGTTTCTGTCTTATTGGCTGCAGCTGAGTTATGTGGCCACCCCTTGATATAGTAAATCTAGGAAAGTGAATAGTATTGATGACTTTTCTAGTATTGTTCTGGATCTTTTAGTTTCTTCAAAATCCTAGTATTCTGGCTGGACACGGTGGGTGACTCATGTCACCCTAGCACTTTGGGAGGCCAAGGTGGGTGAATCACTTGAGGTCAGGAGTTTGAGACCAGCCTGGCCAACATGGTGAAACCCCATCTCTACTAAAAATACAAAAATTAGCCGGGCATGATGGTGCACACCTGTAGTCCCAGCTACTTTGGAGGCTGAAGCAAGAGAATTGCTTGAACCCAGGAGGTGGAGGCTGCCGTGAGCGGAGATCATGCCACTGCACTCCAGCCAAGGTGACATAGTGAGACTCCATTTCAAAAAAAAAATCTAATATTCAGAAGTGTGTGACTGCAAAGGTCAAGCATCCTGGGCTGTAGACAGTGAGGGAGCTTTTTTAAGTTGGGAGCATTGTGGTCAGATTGTTCTTTAAAGGTATACTCTGATGGCTGTGTGGTAGATTGGGTGGAGGGTGACCAAATGGAAGCAAGGAGAGACTGTGTCGGAGACTTTTTTACAATGGTGTAGGTGAGATTTTAGGGGCCTCAACTAGGAAAATTTTTATAGGAATGAAGAGGACACCGAAGATTTCGAAAATAGGACATCAAGTAGGTAGGACTCAGTGGTTGATGGACTTTGGAGACAAGGAAAGAGTGAAGAGTCAAAGATGATGGCTCAGGTTTCTAGCAGAAAAAAAAAATGGCGCCACAACAGAGACCAAAAAAGAGTAGAGGAGAAAGTTTAAGTTGGTTACCTTTTTAGACACAGTGAGTCCTGAGGTATCTGGGCTTCTTTCATGTGCAGATCTTTAGCCACTAACTGGGAAAAGACATAGATTTGTTATATGTTACAAATATATTTTCCTTGATAATTTCCCATGGGATTTTATTTGCTTTTTGCTGTCCAGAAGTTTCCAACATTTGTGTAGTCAGTGTTGTTCACATCTTCATTTATATTTCTGGCTTTAGTTCATAGTTAGAGAGCCTTTCTTTTCCCCAAATGATAGAATTATTTACCACATTCTTTTCTCTATGGCTTAAATATTGTATTGATCAGGATTTTGATGAGTAGGATGAAGTAAAGCAAATGGAAGAGCATTTTCAATTGTTAGAATATGATTAATATGACTTATTTCCAAGGTGTAATTATAAAATACTGATTTTTTTCCTTTAAAAGTACCTCTGACAGTTGTTTTTTTTAAATGGTGTTGCTATTTCTGAAATACTCCGCTGTTTGTTTCTGTCAGAATAAAAAAGGCTGGACAAGGTGGCTTGCATCTGTAATCCCAGCACTTTGGGAGGCCAAGACAGGAGGATCTCTTGAAGACAGGAGTTTGAGACCAGCCTGGTCAACATAGTAAGACCTGGTCTCTACGAAAACTAAAAAAAAAAAAAAAAAAAAAAAAAAAAAAAAAAAAAAAAAAAAAACAGGCACAGTGACGGGTGCCTGTAGTCCCAGCTGCTTGGAAGGCTGAGGCAGGAGAATTACTATAATGGAGTTAAGCCTAGGAGTTTGAGGTTAGGGTGGGCTATGATTGTACCACTACACTCGTACTCCAGTCTGAGTGATAGAGTGGGACCCTTTTTCTTTTTTTCTTTTCTTTTCTTTTTTATTGAGAGAGAGTTTCCGCTCTTGTTGCCCAGGCTGGAATGCAATGGTGCAATCTTGGCTTGCTCCAACCTCCGCCTCCTGGGTTTTAAGCTGTTCTCCTGCCTCAGCCTCCCAAGTAGCTGGGATTACAAGCACGTTCCACCACACCCAGCCAATTTCTGTATTTTTAGTAGAGATGGGGTTTCACCGTGTTGGTTAGACTGGTCTTGAACTCCTGACCTCCGGGGATCTGCCCGCCTCAGCCTCCCAAAGTGCTGGGATTATAGGCGTGAGCCACCACACCCAGCTGCTGTTTCAACAAGTAAATAAATAAAAATAAAACATCCCCAGATCTTAATTTTTTTTTATAAGTCAAAATTGAAATAGGCATTTTATGTATTCTGACAGCAGGAGGATGCATTAGCTCAGCAGGCCTTTGAAGAGACTCGGAGAAGGACACGTGAATTTGAAGACAGAGACAGGTCTCATCGGGAGGAAATGGAGGTGAGAGTTTCACAGCTGCTGGCAGTAACTGGTTAGTACTTTCCCCCAAACTCTCAGGCTATGTTTGTGATGTTTGTGCATAATGTTTTTTAATAGTTTAATTTTGTCTTTCATTTTTAAGAAGTTGTAGTCTTTGACTTTGTATTTGTTAAATGTAATTGCTGTAAATAATTTATTCTAATTTAAGGTTGTACATGAATTCCTCAGTAATTGGTCTTCATAAAAATCATTTACTGTAATAAGGTATATTTTCTCTTAATTCATTTACCCAAAATCTTACCTCTTTTTTTCTTATTTTTCAAATTATTTGTAAACATTAGCTTATGTTTTTTTCTTTTCTTTTCTTTTTTTTTTAGTCGTGGGGCCCAAGATGATGGAGAAAGAGCTCCAGTAGGTTGAGGGAGGCCCTGGCCTTTCTTGGACCATAGTTTCCCTGGCTCTGAGACCCCTTGCAGCTCCTATCTGTTCAGATTTATTTTTTCTTTTTTACATTACATAAAGCCATTTACATGAGGTCAGTGGTATTTCAGCCCAGGGAGAATTTTTGGACACAGCAAAGAGGGGCCTGCAAGTTACACACCCTATCCTGTGCTCTGCCTTTGCCTCCTTCATGCAGCAGATATGTAGTGCATCTCAGAGCTGGGCTAGATACTGTGACACCCAGCACCTCATGAAAAAGGCAGAGAAGCAAACAGTCTAGCTGAAAAAATGTAAAAGCATGTAGTGTTCAGTGATGGCAGTGGTGCCCACACTTTCCTATACACTGGAATCACCTGTGAATCTTTCAAAACACTAATGGCTGGGGTCGCATCCCACTGAGTTAAGTGACCTGGGCTTCCACTTGGGGCTTCCAGCTCTTTTTTT